AACACCTTCGATTCCAGATCAGGTGGAACATAGTTAACTAAATTGATTAATTTTGGGATATTCCAAAATTACACATCAAATTCCACAAATTGGTAAGTGAGAGTTAACAGCACATATTGTTCCTTATTTCTTTGAGATACTACTCAAACCGGAACGAAAACAGGCCAAATAGGTAGTGGACTATGTTGGAAATAAACCCCATTTTGGATCTCCTGCATACTAATTTGGATTTCCTTCCTATTAATTAAGTGCCTAGTCAGTGTCTTCCCGCATACTAATTCGGTATAGGTTTACTAATGAGCGTCAGTCTACTTCAATAGAAAAAATAGGCTCGCCTAGACTTGCCCGGTAATTAACTTGAGCCCGGTTTTCGGACCGTCTATTAAAAGGAAAATAAGAGCGATCACCTAGCAACGCGAGAAACGGCTTCCTATATCTTATTTAGCGCTAAAACTCGGATATATAAACAAAACATACACAAATTGGAGCTGAAAACGCTTTATTTCAAGTTTGTCTGACTATTACAAAACCGTTTTCTCCCATCTATCTCGAGGACATGAAAAACTATTAAAGTCTCAAGCTTTCACGCGCCGTTAGTTAGGTAATTATGCGAGTTCACAAGCCCACCGTTGCTTTATTTACTGGTTTTATTGCTAGCAATTATGAGTCGCGTGTTTTAATTGATCCTTGTTAAGTTATTTCAAATTGTTTTTATAATAATAGTCAAGGTTCTCTCTTGGGGTTTTTATTGCAGAGCTAATTTGTATGCAACGGTGGGCTTGTGAACTCGCATAATTACCTGACTATTGGTGCGTGAAACGCTGAGACTTTAATAGTTTTTCACGTCCTCGAGATAGATGGGAGAGAACGGTTCTGTAATAGTCAGACAAACTTGAAATAAAGCGTTTTCAGCTCCAATTTGTGTATGTTTTGTTTATATATCCGAGTTTTAGCGCTAAATAAGATATAGGAAGCCGTTTCTCGCGTTGCTAGGTGATCGCTCTTATTTTCCTTTTAATAGACGGTCCGAAAACCGGGCTCAAGTTAATTACCGGGCAAGTCTACGCAAGCCTATTTTTTCTATTGAAGTAGAGTGACGCTCATTAGTAAACCTATACCGAATTAGTATGCAGGAAGACACTGACTAGGCACTTAATTAATAGGGAGGAAATCCAAATTAGTATGCGGGAAATCCAAAATGGGGTTAATTTCCAACATAGTCCACTACTCAAATACAGCAGCCAAAGCTCTTAAGGAGTACGATAACGATCTCTTTCCAAATATACACGCGCTCCTTAAGATATGCGACACAATCCCTGCAACGAGCTGTGAATGTGAAAGAAGTGCGAGTTCTTTAAGGCGGCTGCATACATATAACAGGGCATGCATGGGCCAGGAAAGGCTGTAGTCCCTCGCACTAATGCACCATTATCAAGTTAAAATTGTTTTGGATGAGGTGGTAAATCTGTTTGCCACCAAAAAAAAAACGGAGGCTGGAGCTCGGGACTATTCTGAGGGATTAGTTCCGCAGTATTTTGATGTATCATTTTACATCGTAAAATTACTCCTTTATAACTTAATTCAAACAGTTGTATTCGACAAATGTAATATTCAGTTCCTACCGTGTACTTTGCCGTTACAATTTCTCATTTCTCATGTATTGCTACTTTCCTTTCCGTATACCAAGTAGTGATTTTTGTGTCTGAAATTTGCCAATTTTATGTCTGTCAAAAATAGGTAAAAAAAGAAAAATAATTAACAATCCGAAAAATATTGGATTTGTTGTCGAATAGGAAAATTTCACGACGAAACTATTGGTTAAGTTGTGCTCTCTCTATTAAGATTTTCAGAGGCAGAGATTTTTACTTCTTTAATTTTTAAACGATTTTTAAGTAATATATGGTCTTGAGCCTGTTAAAACTGATCTGAGAGCCTCCGAACCGACTCGGTCGCCGTACGCGTAAAATAAAACTCCAATCGAACTAAAAGTTATTTTTCTAGAAATAGTTTACCTAGACCTATATTCTGACAAAGCTTTGGGATTTTGTTTTCATTTTGCACACCCCCAGGCGATATTTACGGATGGCCGCTCTTAAGTTTGGCCAAATCACATGTAATTTTTACACTAAGGCGAAAACGTTACAAGTTCAAGGGAAGAATGGCGATGATCTTAAAAACAACCTCATCTCTCTCTCAAAAGAGAATGGTGCTAGAACTGGTAGCGACCTCTGCTCATCTTTTACAACGGCCGAAGTACCGAACCAAGATGGCGTCGTAGGCCATCAGACTGATGAAACCAACTCACATGATGGCGTCGATTTTCCCACAGAGTCCCAAGCTATTGACGAAAGTGATCAACCCTATTCGCCACAATGTGCTTATGCGAGCCATTTCAACACTGAAATTTAAATATTTGAAAAAGGAGCTGCTCGACCTTTGATTGCTTGTGTCTAGCTCGTCGTTTTGTTCTCCTCCAACCTCTGATTCGGTTGAAATGCTTAACAAGCTTAAACATGAGAACGACTTCTTAAGGAGTGAGCTTATCTCGCAGAAGGAACAATGTAAAAGCTTATCCGAGGAGAGAGATTCCCTGAAACTCGTGGTGCAGTTATTATCGAAAGTTCTTTATAAATCAAAGTTAACTGACGCTCCTCCACCCTCACAAGAGAAAAATCCGACACTGGAACAGATATGGCGGTTAAAGTAAACTTCCCACCGCCTTAGGTCATACACCATACGACCAACCCTGCCATACCTGGCCTGATATACCACCGTTATTCTAGGTGATCCTATCATTCATAACCTTCAGGGATATAAGCTTGGTAAGGAAATTCAAATTGTGGTTAAATCTTTTAGAGGATCGACCACTAATGATATGAGATCTTACATTCAGCCTACTCTAGAAAATTGACCAGAAAGAATTTGTCTCCACATTGGTACTAAGGACCTAAAGAATAAGGGACGTTGCCGATGCTATCGTTGATTTACCAATAGAGAACTTAAGATGGAGACGTTTTCGGGGCGACGGCGACCGGACTGGCAGAGAAAGCCTGGAACTAAGGCAGCCGTCGCTCCCCGTCAAAAATAGAACATTAAGATCGCAGTGAACTCAGAAGGACGGCGCCTTTAATTAGAAGAATACCGAAGAGGAAAATATGGCTTCACATAAAGAATTAAGAGAATAAATATTTGCTATGCAGACAACATGTATCGGATGAAGAGTTTCTCGTTTTGTGGGAAAATTATGAGTCCAAAAATCCCGATTTTCCTCGGGACAGTTACGATCCGTTCACGCTAAAAAACATGCGGGATGCAGCTGAGTTCAAGGCAGAATTTCGTGTTGAAAAAAAATGATCTCCACAGGCTTGCGAAGCCTTTTAAATTACAGGAACATTAAAATGCTACCAAGGAACCGTATTCTTAGTTTGGTATTGAAATAATTCCCGGGAAATACTTGCATGCAGCAACAACAACAACGGCAACAACTTTATTTCGGTATTCCCACGCCGAGTTAGTACATGGTATTACCTACTATTCTATATCATTTTCAATGCGTTTCATTTATACGATATTCCTACGAAAAGAGCGAACTAAAAACACACAATTAAAATATCGGAGTTCATATTTTTTGTCTGGATACTTTTATTTGGCTCCTGGGAAAATTTTGTCCCTTGTCAAGCTCACTTACGGTTGGCTGTTGGCAAGTTGGATCTTGACCCTGTGACATGAAAACATAGAAACATTCAAAGATGTAAGTTTAGATAACAGAGATTGGAAATCGAGCTTGAAATGTGCCTCAAAGAAAACAAGGACAATTTAAGAACGATAATCTGCAAAATGTTGGAAGCTAAACGCAACAAACCTGATTGAAATGAAAGTTAAATACTCACGTTTTCGCCACAACGCCAAACAGACCAGTTTCACGTCGCCGACGGGAACACGACGGCAAGGTGGTGAGCACGAGCATGCGCAATATCTAACAAATGATGATGTCACGTCCGGTTGAAGTTGCCGTCGCCCCGAAAACGTCTCTATCTTAAGTTGCCTAATGATTTACCAATGACGGTGAAGTCATCTGGTGAGTTCAAGATCTTAATTACTGAGTTAACACCGCGGAATGACAAGTACCGCAAAGAAGCGGATAAGTCCGTTAAAAAACTCCTCATTCTTGAATTCCCCGCACCCAAAAAACTGACAACCAGAAATGCGGTGCGGGATAAGCAGACAATTCTTAGCCCATTTATTGAACTAACCAACTAATCACAAAACAAAAACAACTGTTTACACTGTTTAGACACCAAAAAATTAAACAAACTCTATACGTTCGATCCGGCCAAAGTAAATTGAATAAACAAAACCACTTATAATGACTGTCAATCATCAGGAAAGCACAACTAAAATCGTTACGAGGAAATGGATTACAGGATTTCAACCAAAATATAAAAAAGAACAAAATTTAACTGTCCGCTTGTAAAAATCCACAATGAAACTTGTTTACTGTTCAGCGAATATATACTTGCTAGTTTACATATCACACTTTCTTCCCATAATCTCACGCCTGCACTTAAAACACACTGCCGACAAATGCACTTGTGCTTGGGAATTCAAGAAACCATTTATCTTTTGTTTCATTACGCTTCGCTACATTCAGGCAAAGATAAATGAACAATTCTTGAATTCCCCGCACCCAAAAAACTGACAACCAGAAATGCGGTGCGGGATAAGCAGACAATTCACAATCAGTGGCAAAAGCATATAAGGATACAATATAAGGCAATGTTCATTAAGCAAACATATTTACAGTATAATAGATAGCTAATCGCTTGGATACCATAAGGGTACTGTCCAAAAATTGTTAAGCATATCCACCTGCGGCAAGGATTCTGTGTCATCAAGCAACGTTAAGCCATCAGAATTAATTGGGCAAATGTAAATCTCTCCATACTGCAACAAACAACACAACTCGCGCAATGTTTATCAAGCAAATCACATACTGAAAATTAAAGAGCCAAATTTCTAGATACCACAAGGGTATTTTCCAAAGATTCATCGACATAACCATCTGCGGCTTGGATACTGCGCCAACCACCATGTCTACGCCATACTCTCCCAGAAACTCCGCTGCGTGCTGCTTGGGAAGCACCACCTGAACGAAGGCTATGTAAACCAAATTCGTTCGAGTCTAAACCAAGTTCGGAAATCATTTGACGAAACTGTTCCCGTGCCCGAGAATATGACAGAGCAGCTTGTCGCAGCTTGTACCCGGCACCCAATTTCTGGCAGAGACAAAATAAAGACTGAGATGGTTGATGCTCTCCGCGCTCAAGGAATAACTCTAACAGTTTCACTGGACAAGAGCTGGAAGGTAAACGAGCAACTTTAACCACAGATCCCTGACGGAATTGATCGTTCTTACGCCTGTCTAGGAAAATAGACATGTGGGTGGCGCAAAACCTTAAGTCACAGGCACGTAAGTAAATGATATTTTCTTTCCTTGCATTTAATGTATATATATATTTTCTATATAGTTTTTATGTAGTGTCAGCTCGAAGATATTAGCTTGTTAGCTACTCTAAAATTCGAGTTTAAATAAAGTTTTATGTTATGTTATGTTATGTAAGTCACGCAGCTCTGACCAACGTAGGAAAGCACAAAAACCAAGCGCAACCAGCGACACCATTTGTAGGTTCGGTAGAGAAGCACGAGGGTGACCGTAGGAACGAATCAGCGCCCTGACGTGATGAGATTCAATAGGCTGCTTTTTCCTAGATGGACCAGCCAGGAGGCGTTTAAAGCCAGCCAAGGTCTGAGAAACGAGCGGATCGTCGACAGGATTAGGACATCCAAGTTTCTTATGTAGCCATGCAATGCCATAAGCTGCTCCAAGGATTGACGAGCGAGATAATCCTCGGTCTGAAAGACTTGTTAAGTAGAGAGCAACTGCGGTTGGGTTAGACTGTAAAGGAGGAAACGAGTAACACTTGCACCAGTCAATCCATCGATTGGCTGCCCCTGCATACGAAGACACGGTTGAAGCGGCACAGTCATTAAGTATGACAGTCTTTAACAGTTCTACAAGCCTCTGAATCTCCGCGTTGCTCCGTTGGTAAGGCGACAAGCCTAAAGTGAAAATCAACAATGTCCAAAACATGGCACTTTAAAGACAGGAACAACATCCAATTGCTACAGAACACTAAACGCGCAAGATACTCATCGTCTGCAACGAGAACTGCCCACATGGCAAGTTAACACAGCACCAGTACACACTCCAGCACAAGGAGGCTTGGCCCACTCGGCGTCAACTGGTAAGCAAATCCACACAAAGGATAGAGGAGTCCACTTGACTCTAAAAACGAACACACTACTGTGTCGGCAGTGCCCTCTCGGCTTGCTTCAGCTGCACAACTCGTGCGTACTAGTACAGTTCCAAGTCCACTGACTTGCAAAGAGAAAAGGCCCACGCCTAGGCCAAAAAGGCTCAGATAGAACAAAAACAAATAATTAGGATGAACAACTCGTTCAAGGTACTCATCTAATACCCGAAAAACGTTCTACAGCAAAACTAAGGAAACACAATTCTCAAAGCAAATACCCTACACGAGGGAATACCATGCCCGAAAAGATCCGCGGCTGCGGAACCAGGGAGAAAAGTAGATTCATGTAAAGGAATCTCCCGCCAGTCAAGAACAAAAGGGTGGAAAACCCCGGGGGCTTCGAGACACCAACGGCCACCAATGAGCAGATTGCCAAAAGGGGATAATGAGAGTGCCCTGCTCTCTACCCAGTTTCATGTGATTGATAACCCTGGGAATAAGGAACACTGGGGGACCAACCAATTGTTTTCCCTCCCCAGCTGACGGTAAAAAGCATCAACAGTTTCGGTCCCAGGACATCACCATCGAGAACAAAACCTGGGCAACTGGAAAGAATTATGACTCGCAAAACGATCTACAGTGTGGGGTCCCCACAGAATATCCAACTGGCGAAAATGGACAGGGTTGAGCATCCAATCATCGGTGTCGACAACTTTCGACCAATAATCAGCTTTGAAATTAAAGTGGCGAGGTATCCACTCCGCAGAAAAGCGAATGCCGGCTTCATGGCACAAATTGTAAATGGCAACCGCTTTTTTTGCAAATGAGGCTTACTACTGCCGACGGACAAAATACTGCAGACGCTCTGATTGTCAGATCTATGCTTGCACTCCTTACCCGCCAAAAGACCGGAAAACGACTGAAGAACAAATCTAATTGCACGAATCTCGCGGAAAGAAGAGCTGCATAGGGCCTCGGAACCCAACCAGTTCCCTCTAGCGATGTGCGTACCAAATTGAACAATAAATCCCGCCCAACCCACATTGCTGGCATCCGAATAAGACAAAAGCTCTATCTTCGGGGAGGGCCTCCAGATTGGTTTGCCGCACAAACGAAAGAAATTATCTCTCAAAAATTAAGTTCCTCTACAGCTTCACGCGTTAAAGCCACCTTGCAGCTAAGGCTATGAACGCTATTAAGGACTGCGTACAAGGCTCGGGTGCGCAAACGCACAATTGGACCTAAAGCGAGCTCCATGGAAATAAGGGTACCCGTAATACGAGACACATCCCTAGCCGTGGGTGAAACATCGTCAAGAAGCAGTGAAATCAGATTAAACAGGTGATCAATCTTGCCTGGTGGGATACTAAATTCTCCTTTGGTAAGGTCCAAAATAAAGCCTAAGTGCTCCCCTTTTTGGCGCGGTTCAAAATTGCTCTTCTCCTCATTCACTAGCAGGCCAAGACGATCAAGATCGCCTCGCACTAGTTGCGCTTCCTGAGAACACGAATCTTTACTTGAATCGGTGCCGATACCGTCGTCCAAATAGACAGAAATCCTAATGCCTTGTGACCGCCAGTGTGAAAAAACTGGTCTTAACAATTTGGTGAAAACGTAAGGAGACGTACTTAAACCAAAAGGAAGCGAACAAAACAAAAAATAGCGTGGCTTACCATCGAAAGTAAACGAAAAAAAGCCAAATACTTCAATGCTCTTGAAAAATGTCAACATGATGGTAGCCATTACGAAGATCGAAAGTAAAAACCAATCACCGGGCTGAAGAATTTCCGCCACAACTCGAAGGTCTTCGAACTTAAACTTACGCTTGGCTAGGTGCTTGTTAAGAAAGCGAAGGTCGAGAATCAATCGAAGTTTGCCATTCTTTTTAGGAACTACACCTAAGGGACTGCAAACATGAACTTGGTCACGCTTGACTTCCACCGCGCTACCCGCCAACAACAATTGCTCGATAGCTTCACAAACAAAAGCTCTATTATCAACAGCGCTTTTATGATTACTAAAGAAATACCTCAATGGAATTGAAACAAATGGTAACTTATAACCGTTTTCAATAACACTAAGAACAAAAGAAGAGGCCCCAATAGAACGCCAAACATGCAAAAACTTGCGCAAGCGGCCTCGAATCCAAAATACTGAGGAAACGCCCGTGTCAAGTTCAGCCTCGCCGCGATCCGAAAATTCGTCAAAATCAGAGTCAGCTAGTCATTTAGCGGAAGAGGAAACTTTACAATCCTTGATAAAATGGCCTGCTTTGCCACAACCAAAGCAGCGATAAACAGGAGCTTTTTTCTCCGGTACAGGATTAACCAAAAGCTGACCGACGTCTGGGCGGAAATCCACGATTCTATGTGATGGGCCAAAATTAGCACTGGGGCCGCTTTTGGAAGATGTAGACTGAGACTTAAAACGAGTTCTCATTTTGCTTCTCAGACTATTTTTTCGATTTCGTTTCTCCCGAGACCTCTCTGCTTCCTTGCGCGCGACACGAAGTTTCTTTTCTTCTTCGTCATTTTTAGTGAGTGGGTCCGCCTCAAAATATTCTACCACGTCCCAGCCATCCCGGTCAGCAATAGAAATAAGCTTATTTCTGTTATCAAGGAGTGACATACCTTCGTTGGCAATCTTAGTGATGGCGTCATCCGCCCCAGCCCTCTCTAAAATCTGGTTGAACTTATCCTTGACGTCAGTGTTGAACTTGAACTGTTTCTTGTTACTCTTATATTTGAACTCGGGTTCCTCCTCCGCAGACTTGCGTTTTAATGAGTCGAGCTGTTCTTTGACAACCTTGACCTCTTGCGTTTTCGTCTCCAAGGCCTTTAAGATTTCCTTCGCCCACGTTGGGGGCTCAGGGCTGCGAGAAGCCGAGCGACTTCTACGGTGCGAACGCTCGCGGACACTCCTTCGCGAAGGCGAAGCACTACGACCAGAACCGCTTGAAGCTGCAACATGTGAGCGAGAACTACGACGGCCTGAACTTCGATGTTCTCTTGACCTGGACGGCCGGACAACAGGGTCTTCAATGTCCGCGTTGACTCTCGAAACATGAGAGCGAACTGAAGCAGGGCGACCACGACGGCCCCGCGCCATATGGACGAGATAGGAAGAACGAGCTAAGAATTTAACTGTCCGCTTGTAAAAATCCACAATGAAACTTGTTTACTGTTCAGCGAATATATACTTGCTAGTTTACATATCACACTTTCTTCCCATAATCTCACGCCGGCACTTAAAACACACTGCCGACAAATGCACTTGTGCTTGGGAATTCAAGAAACCATTTATCTTTTGTTTCATTACGCTTCGCTACATTCAGGCAAAGATAAATGAACAATTACATTTTGTAACCAGCATCTGTGGAACCTCATTAGGCATACTAATATCTCCGAAAAACATTTAAACAGGGGCGGACTTCATCTTACTAGACAATAAGGTAATGACTTTCTATGCGTAAATTTGTTAAAACTTTGCCTTTAAATGTTAATAATCATTAGCCTGTCTCCGTGAATGCTGTTTGTTTCGACTCTGAGTCTTACAACCATCAATCTAATTTGTACCAATTTGTTTCTACGAAACATGAATCAACTTCGAATATTCGTCTCCCATCGAAGCGTGGCTTCGAAATAGCTTCTCTGAATGTTAACAGTTTATCTGCCCACATAGATGAAGTCAGAATTTTGCTGGGTGTGTTAGCTATGCAGGAAACAAAACTAAATAATTCACACAGAGATTCTGAATTCTACACTTCCCGTTTTGGTTTACTTAGACGTGATAGAATCAGTGATGGCGGTGGTGGTGCTTGTTTCTATATCAAATCTAGCATCAATTTTTCTCTTCGAAACGATCTTAACATAGCCGATCTCGAAAATGTATTTATCGAAGTTCGAAAACCCCAATCCAAGCCTGTTATTGTTGTCAATTGGTATCGGCCACCAAATTCCCATGTTAGATTGTATTCACACCTTGAGAACCTTATCAGAAAACTAGATTTAACAAATTTCGATTTTTTCCTGTTGGGTGACATGCATATAGATATGGCCACTACCAAATCTGACATCGATGCTCGTCAATTAAATAATATCGCTGATATTTGTGGTCAACTAATTAATGAGCCAACCCGTATTACTGATAAATCGACTTCTCTCATTGACCTAATTGATACTAATTCTCCTGAGAGGGTTGTTTGCTCATGTTTGCATAAGCGATCATATATAGTCTTGTTTATGTGTACCACAAGTTATCTTTTGATCTTCCCAAGGGACATACTTCTATGACTTATGAGAGTTTTAAACACTTTAAACACTCCGTCTTTCGCACTGGTATTTCCAACCACAACTGGGATTTCCTAAGTTCTTCAAAAGACCCGAATGAGCTTTGGTCCGAGTGGAATTCAAATTTCCTGGCAATTGCTGCGTCCCAATACGTACTAAGCGTGTGCCTTCCCAAAAGTCACCTTGGATTACAGCCGATTTTAAAAAACTCATGCATAGCTGAAATATTATGAAAATAAAAGCTATTAACTGCAATGATCCGCATTGTTGAGCATGCTTTAAAAGAATGCATAACAAAGTCAATGTTGCGATCCTACAGGCCTATAGAATTATTTTACGAAAACAAATTTAGCGAATCTGACGGCGTCCCGCGTAAAACGTGGCAGGTGATCAATGAGCTTACTTCTCGCAAAACGGGCAGGTCCTCGGTTAGGGAGTTGAGTCTGAATGGTGTTTCAATAACGAATTCGACCGCTTTGTCAAACGCTTTCAATGATCACTTTTCCACAATTGGCTCGAAACTGGCAAGCGAAATACCTTACAATAATGGCTCTAGTTTACAGGAATATATCTCTGGCCCTAGTGAAAGATTTCAGCTCGTCTCCACTGATAGCAATCAGGTTTTGTCTCTTTTTTAAAAAACTGAACAAATCTAAAGGAGCTGGTCTCGATGGATTATCTAGTCGGCTTATCCTTGATTCTGCTGATTTGATTTCACCTCATATTTCTATAATATTTAATAGTTCCTTAGCTAATGGTATATTTCCTGACCATTGGAAGTCTGCGAGGGTTAGCCCTCTATTTAAGCATGGCGAAAGAAGCGATATGGACAATTGTCGTCCAGTTTCAGTTCTCTCTATAATTGGCAAAGTATTTGAAATAATTATCTATAATCAACTCTTTGCCTATTTATCGGATCATAATATTTTGTCTAAGCACCAATCTGGGTTCCACGCGCTTCATTCAACAGTTACAACCATATTGGAGGCAACCGATAGTTAGACCTGTAATATTGATATAGGTAATGTTAACGCTGTTGTTTTCCTTGACCTTAAGAAAGCGTTTGACAAAGTCGACTACCACATTCTATTGTCTAAATTACATCTCTATGTTCTAACAGGTGTTTCTCATAAATTGTTCTCCTCCTATTTAGTTAATTGTACTCAGAAATGCGTTGTCAATGGTTCCCATTCAGAATGTTGCACCCTCAAGTGTGGTATTCCCCAGGGAACAATATTGGGGCGTTTACTGTTTTTGCTATATATCAATGATTTGCCCAATTCTCTGTCTCACTCTGTGCCAAGAATGTATGCTGATGATACCCATCTGACTTATTCGAATGATAATATCCACTCCGTTCAGTCTTCCCTGAACGAGGACTTGCTCAACATAAATCGCTGGTTTACCGCTAATAAATTAACGCTAAATATGACTAAAACTGAGTTCATGTTAAACGGCTCAAGGCAAAAGCTTAATAATCTACCTTCTCTGCCTTCCTTGAATATAAATAAAGTTCCTATAAAACATTCCCATTGCTCTAAGTCTCTTTGCGTGCTTATTGACGAAAATCTAACATGGCTCTATTAGGGCCGCCTTAGATTTTTTTTTAAATCTTGACTCTGACCCTTCATTTTCTCCTAAAAAAGTTTTAACTTTGTATTTTCTCTAAAAAAGTAACAAATTTCCAGGAAGACTAGTGAGACTGGTAGAAATGGTAATACCAGTAACATGAGACTTCTTTGGCAGAACACCGACGGCACTACCTTATTTGGCCTAAACGGGTACTCGCCGCTGAACAGGGTATGGTTTTCAGGGTCTTAAGCTCTTAAACAGGATATACAACTTCGCTATTTAGCGTCTTGAACAGGGTGTATTGCCGGACCAGAAGACCAGAAGTCTTTAAAAGGATGCGAAGGGTGGTGATGAGCGGTCCACATTTATGGTACAAACATATTTTTTTCCACAAGAATTTAATCCACGATATTTGTTTGAAAAACTACTTATTTCTGTAAGCGAGATGTAAGGAATCAGAATCAAGGAATTAGAATTAGGCATCTTGTCTTAAACAGGGTATTGAAATGAGCACGTAGTTTAGTTTCTGTCTTAAACAGGGTTAGGGTTTGACGGGTACACCTCTGCCCAATGTTCCATTAAGTACCACCCCCCGGCGCTGAAGGGCGGGGGGGGGGGAACTATACCTCTTAGGACTTTACCAAAAAGAATTTGGTTGTTTTTGTGAATTTTTAAGTTAGTCACTGTGAGGACTGATATGGTGTTACTTAAGTGCTAAAAACTATGAATGTTGACAAAAGAGCGCTTTCTCTCACGCGACCAGCAACTATGCAAATTTATGAGAACAGAAGAAATTGTTTACATAACAATGGCCGCCGTTTCATTGTTTTGGAACACCAATATGGCTGCCCTGACGTCATGTGAAAACGCTCTATCGAGACAAATCATGGCAAACTAACATTCCTTTGGTTCCTGTTCCAAACATAACACAATCGCTCGGGTGATCGTGCCCACCACGATCGAAGCATTATTCAGGCTATGTAATCGTAACGACCCCTAACGTAACGACCACGTAACGACTTAGACGAAAGCAGACAGCCGGCTCTAACGATCGAAAGAGCGTAAGCGTTCATGATAATACGGTCTTTAATGATCTCGCGCACGTACAAGTAATCGTTGTTTGGTCCAGATGTTTCCGCGAAACTAATAAAGTCACAAGACCCTTTCCGTCACACAAAATTCTACACCACACACCACACAGTTGAGTTCTCACCTCAAGACAGTGGCGATACTTATGTCTGCCGAGACCATCAAACTCAATTAATGCATGGCGAACGAGTGGATCTTATCAACATAAACCTAATTGCAATAACGTTGTCATAGAAAAAAGCAAAAAGCAAAAAGCAAAAAGCAAAAAGCCAAATAGGAATTGCCATGTGATTTTCATTTGCGTATTTTAATAATTTAAAAATTATTTAAGAATTAAGTCATTCACAATAACAAGACATAATTCTGCAATTCCGCGCTGTAAGATTCCGCACATGAAACACCGATGTGTGTAACGAAAGGGTTCAAAATTATTACTTCAGTCGAATTGTCACTCATAGCCAGAGTTTCTGAAATACCCTTCGCAGTTTTCTGGTGAGATTTGCGCAAAAGCATGCAACATAAACTCATGGGGCTGAAGACAGCAACGGAAGGCAATGTCATTTTCCCGAATGAAGTGTTTGGCCTGGTGATAACTTCCCTCTATCGGATTAAAATCCGGTCTGTTAGGTGGAAGGTATCTGACCAAAGCTCCGGCACCATATATAATTTCTTCCACTTCCGAAACATGATGAACTGCGTGGTTGTCTAAAAACACAAAAACGGAATTAAAGATTTTGAGCAAATGTTTACGAGAAAAATTCATTTCTTATGAACAATTTATTACCTAGCACAACCACAGAACGAGCGTTTCTTCCATTGTATGGATTGAGAAGAGGTACTATATCATTACGTAGAAAGTCAGCAAAAACAATGCGATTGAATCGTTGGCCTGGATTGAGTACTCGGATGCTGAGGCATCCATCGTGAGCAATAGCAGATATTACTGTAATACGTTGGCTATTTTTTCTTGTCCTTATCACCTCAGTCCGCTGCCCTTTCTGTGAATAACCGTATTGTCTCGATAAGGTTCTGTCCTGGAGAAAGATAAGATCAGAAAAAAATAAAGAATGAGTGGAAAGAACGTTTTATACAAAACAAGCTTTTTTCTAACAAACAATCGACTCTGAGAAATTATAAAAAAGCAACACTTACAATTCC